CTTCCATTATGCTGGTGTATCAGCAAAAAACGTCACTCTGGGTGTGCCCCGTCTTAAGGAGATTATCAACGTATCGAAGAAACCCAAAACACCCTCTCTGACCGTTTTCTTGACTGGAACTGCTGCGAAGTTTGTCATTATTGATTATTGCTGCCCCGCTGTTATGATCTATAGTAATGGTGATGATAATGCTTCAGAGACGCAGAGAAGGCGAAGGATGTATTGTGTAAGCTTGAACATACAACACTGCGCAAAGTAACGGCAAATACGGCGATTTACTATGATCCAGATCCGAAGAACACGGTGATCGAAGAGGATGAAGAATGGGTGAACATCTTCTATGAAATGCCTGACTTTGATCCATCCAGAGCCAGTCCTTGGTTGTTGCGTATCGAGCTGGATCGCAAAAGGTGTTTATTGCGATTGTTATTGTTGTACGTTAGTGTACTATAATTGCTGTTAAGGATGACCGATAAGAAGTTGACAATGGAAGCGATCGCAGACAAGATTCATCAGGGCTTTGGTGATGATCTGAATGTGATTTATACGGATGATAATGCCGAGAAGTTGGTATTCAGATTACGTATCACCAATCCGGACATGGACAAGGGAGGAGATGTAGGTGTTTTATCGTTATTAGTTGTTGTTTTATGAGGTGTATTACTGTTTTTTGTTTGAGGAAGAACAAGTGGACAAAATGGAAGACGACGTCTTTTTACGCTGCATTGAGTCGAATATGTTGTCTGACCTTACACTTCAGGTAGTAACATTTTTTAGTATAATTTTGCAATTGTTTTATGGAATGGATGGATTCAAAATAAATGAGTTTTGATGAATATTGAAGGGAATCGAATCAATCACAAAAGTTTATATGCATAAACCAACAACTGATGATAAGAAACGTGTGATTATCACGCCTGATGGAGGATTCAAAGCAGTTAGAGAATGGCTGCTGGAAACTGATGGAACTGCACTCTCAAAGGTCAGTTGTTTATTCGTTTTCGTGATGTAAATATTTCGGCAGTTTTGCAGTGCAGTGTGAATATTTGATTGTAATTTAAGGTGTTGAGTGAACAGAATGTGGATTCAGTGAGGACGACGTC